ATATATTTATATATATATATATATTTATATTAATACATATATATATATTTATTTATATATATATATATATATATATATATATATATATATATATATATATATATATATATATATATATATATATATATATATATATATATATATATACGACTGAGTTATATGTGCATCATTTTCCTGACATACAAAAAGTGCGCAAAAGTTGCGCACTATACAGACGTTCCAGTTTGACTTAGAACAGCAGTTCAGTGCCTAGATATTTTAGATAGCTGTTGACGTAATGTATTCACTCTCTCTATCTCTTACAAACCGATTGCAACGTCTCCTCTTTACATTTTCGATGGGATGAAATATTTTTTCAATCTGTAAAATTGCCCTTTCAATCTTTAAAACTTAAAACAGCCATTGAATAGCTTGTTTGAGCTCGCCTTATTCTCTACCTGCACATAGGCCGTGGGCCGTTGTGCGAAAAAGTGCTTAGAAAAGCAATTTCGTGGCAACCCCCTGGGGAATAGATTTTCTGTTCTTCATTTAATAGTACCATAGATGCTCGATTACCACAAAAAGTTCCCAAGCACAAAACTTGCCAAACACCGAGAAAATAGGTGATCAGTGATTATCCTCTATTAAATTGTATTACAGCAAGAAAATGTGAAATTTTGTATTCAATTACAATAAAAATGACTTGTATCATCAGGAAGCTTACAAAAATCTACATATAGGACGTTTAAACAGTTTTTTTATATGTCAAATTGTTTTCGAGTTATATACGCTGTCAAAAACGCGTTTTTGACCTAGTACCCAGTCCTTATTGCAACATTTTAGTCCAATTTTCACATTTAAAACAGTAATAACTCAAAGACTATTTAAAGAATCAAAAAACTGTTTAAAAGTCTTACATGCGGTTTTTTGTAAGCTTTCTGACGATGCAAGTCAAGTCAAGTTTTGTTGTAATTGAATACAAAATTTCACATTTTCTTGCTGTAATACAATTTAATACGGGATAATCATTGCAGATGATACAAATCTTACAGTATGTTCAGATAGCATTAATAATTTGGAGGAAGCACTAAATTCTGAAATGAAAAATATTCACCAGTGGCTTCTTTCAAACAAGCTAACTTTAAACATTGAAAAAACAGAATACATGATCATTGGAACCCGCCAAAGATTAGCTAAAATTCAAAAAAATACTAGCGTATCATGCGGGGGGAAACTATTGAAACAGGTTTATTCCAAAAAGACTTTAGGTGTACTGATTGATGACAATCTATGTTGGAATGAGCAAATCGACAACATCAGTAAAAAGGTATGCACAACATGATTTGACATTGAATTTATCATAAGTGTAGGAAAGGTTGTCTCAACCAGTTTTGTCCAAGATTGTAGATAAAACAAAATTGCAGTGATAGTGATAAGAATATTGCTCATTGGATTACCCCAAAAAAGAGACGGCACATCGGCACCAAATTTATGAAAGTTTAGTTCCATTTTTCTGCAAGAGATTAATGATATTTTCATTACTAATTAGTATATTAATGAATTAATGAAAATTAACATTAATTGTATAGTTACTTAATTATTTAGTTTCTCCTTGTAATTAAACAGAATACAGACATCAACATATATACCATGTATAAATTGTATTCATGCGTGAACCTTTATGCTACACTTACTATTAATTTTTGGGCTTGAAACACCACCTTCTGCCCGAGGGTTTGTAGAACCAAACTGATGGCTCCGACATAAATATGTCGTCATAGCAACAACCCTTGCTGATGCATTCATCAGGAGTAACATACGGTGCGGTTAGGTTTTTATCGCAAAGCTCTCGCTCAGTTGACCGTATCTTACATCCAGGAGCTAGAAAATAAGATGTGGTGTGTAAACAGTGGCGCAACGCTCACATGGTACGGTTAGGGCGTGGGGTCTTATCTTGGGACATTTGATATCTGAGATCTTCACTTCTGCAGCAGTTTGCAACTGAATGACTTTAATAGGGGAATTCAAGATTTCCGACGCCATAACGAAACGCAATGAGCGCAAGGGATACAAACACAATGGAATTCCCTATAGGTAAATTTGCAGGAGGTACAAACACAATGGTGAGAACAATAGATTCAAGATCCCCCTATTGAAGCAGGTTTTGTGGCATGGCCAGAGATCACGGACGCGATTTATTCTACTTCCTTTGTAACTTGCATACATCACGTTGAAATATGGCTTCAACAGTAAACAGTGAATTATATAACGCGATGTTGTTAATCTCAATGTCTGTCGCAGTATTTAGTGGCAGGGACGCCAGAACGATGTGAAGGCAAAGGGGGCAGATTTTCGTGAAAGGGCACTTTTGAATTGATATATACTAATTAAGAGATGTTTACAAAACATCGGGAGTTGAACTTTGCCTAATCATGTTTTCTATTTATTGGATGATAGGGGTGTGAGGGGGAGGGGGGGAGGTGGTTCTCGGCCAGGCGATTGTGCTATTCCTGAAGCTCGATGACTGCATTTCTTGCGTTTTCTGAGGCAAATTCGTAAAAGAATTGCACTAACACCTTTGCCCCCCTTGCCCCTCCTGGTAAAGGGAAACAGGGGCGGGTGCCCCTCCTGCCCCCCCCCCCCCCCC